TGTTGCGTGTGTGTTTGTGTGTGTGTGTTTCCGCTGTGTGTGTGTGTGTGTGTGTGTGTGTGTGTGTGTGTGTAACCGCTGTGTGTGTGTTTGTGTGTAACCGCTTTGTGTGTGTGTTTGTGTGTAACCGCTGTGTGTGTGTGTGTGTAACCGCTGTGTGTGTGTGTGTGTAACCGCTGTGTGTGTGTGTGTTTGTGTGTAACCGCTGTGTGTGTGTTTGTGTGTAACCGCTGTGTGTGTGTGTTTGTGTGTAACCGCTGTGTGCGTGTTTGTGTGTAACCACTGTGTGTGTGTGTTTGTGTGTAACCGCTGTGTGCGTGTTTGTGTGTAACCACTGTGTGTGTGTGTGTGTGTGTGTAACCGCTGTGTGTGTGTGTAACCGCTGTGTGTGTGTGTAACCGCTGTGTGTGTGTGTAACCGCTGTGTGTGTGTGTAACCGCTGTGTGTGTGTGTAACCGCTGTGTGTGTGTGTAACCGCTGTGTGTGTGTGTAACCGCTGTGTGTGTGTGTAACCGCTGTGTGTGTGTGTAACCGCTGTGTGTGTGTTTGTGTGTAACCGCTGTGTGCGTGTTTGTGTGTAACCACTGTGTGTGTGTGTGTGTGTGTGTAACCGCTGTGTGTGTGTATGTGTTTGTGTGTAACCGCTGTGTGTGTGTGTGTGTGTGTGTGTGCAGTGATAACCAGAGGCTGAGTCTGCAGCGGGAGCAGATGAGCGCGGAGTTCAGCGTCCTGAAGAAGCGAGAGCAAGAGAAAAGCCGACAGCTGGAGGAGCTCAGGTGAGAACAGACTCACATCTCCAGACTCAAACATTTTTGAACAGTAAGATTTTAAGTGAAGTAATTAACATAATTTTGGGAGGAGTACGCCCATCTAATCTTCCAATTAATATCCAATTTTAAAAGACAGCCTCTTACCACTTCCGTTTTTAGTTCTTTCGGCATCCCTCCTCCTCCCCATCTCCTCCTTTTATGCATATTTATTTATTTATCTTTCTGATAGGGGGGCTATCGGAGCTCGAGTAGAACAGTCTCTCTGAGCCCTCCATTGCAGACATCAAGCCAAATCTGTTTACCACTAATGCTAAGATTATATGGGCACACAAACTTGTGAAACTACAGTGTACAAAGTACCTTTATATTTAACAATTGCGACTTTTTCATAATTGCAACTTGACAGTATCGCACAAAATATCTTTACATCTCACAAATATGCCTTTGTTTCTCATAACTGCAACTTTATATTTCACAAAATGACTTATAACTCAATTGTAACTTTTATGATTTTGTCACTGTTGCTATCTTGAGTACGCCCATCTAATCTTCCAATTAATATCCAATTTTAAAAGACAGCCTCTTACCACTTCCGTTTTTAGTTCTTTCGGCATCCCTCCTCCTCCCCATCTCCTCCTTTTATGCATATTTATTAATTAATTTATTTATCTTTCTGTCTATACAGCATATTAGAATGATTTCTGAAGATCATGTGACACTGAAGACTGGAGTAATGATGCTGAAAATTCAGCTTTGATCACAGAAATAAATTATATTTTATTATATATAATTAAATAGAAAACAGTTGTTTTAAATAGTAAAAATATTTCAACATTTTACAGTTCTTGCTGTAATTTGGAACAAATAAATGCAGGCTTGGTGAGCAGAAGAGACTTCTTTAAAAAACCTGAAAAATCTGTTCAGAACCGTTTGACTGCTGGTGCACCTGATACTGTTTCTGCAGATTTCTGCATGAACGTCAGGAGCAGACCAGGCAGGACATGAAGGGTCTGGAGGAGACCGTCGTGAGTATCTACAGCGCCTCAGACTGAATATGATCTATAATAATGAGATTTACACACCTGCACGTTTGTCTGTGAAAGGCCCGAGAACTCCAGACGCTCCATAACCTGAGGAAGCTGTTTGTTCAAGACCTGACGGCTCGAGTCAAACAGGTGCGTTTAGTCGATCCACAAACACTCAGATGAAGAGGAATCCACTGAGATTAAAGAGCCTGATGGATCTGATGTAAAATTACATGAAAACGAAATTATGACACAACAAAACAGTAACACTTTACAATAAGTTAATGCATTTAACAATCTGTTAATGCATTAAATGGCATGAATAAGGAGCAATACAACAACATATATTTATTTAGAAAGCACATTTAAACACAAAAAATTATTCTAAGTGCTTTACAACATGGACAAAAGCTACACATAGTTTTTTGTTAAATATTATTGCATTATTAATTATAATCCATTACATGTATTCAATCATATGAAATATATTACATTATATTATACATAAATTATAATATTTATATCAATAATTATAATTTCCATAAAAATAATAATTATAATTTTATAAAGTATTTCTTAAATTACTAAATATATTATTACATATGATAAGTAGTACATTAAATATATTTAATAGCATATGTATAATATTATTAACAAATATTATACTATCTATAAGTAGAATTATAATATTGTTGTAATTATATTAATTAATTACATTTATAAAAACTATGGAAATTTTTGAAAATACCTTAAATATATTTAATAACAGATGTATAATATAAATATATTATGACTATAATTATAATATTATAAAATGTTATAATTTAATAAATATTTTAGTAAATTACTAAAATGTATATAGAAATAAATACATTTAAATATATTATAAAAAGTATACATTAAATTAATTTAATAACAGACTTATAATACTATAAATAGGCAATTATAAATATAATAACATAATATTAAAATTAAATTTTTTGTCTGCAAAAGCAACATTTACACTTACATAATAAAATACGATTTTATTAAAATATAAATATGAAAAAAATAAAATATGATTTACTGTAACAATGCAATTATTTATTTATATATTCATCAATGTTTGTTAACATTAGTTAATAAAAATTCAATAAATAAATATACATCGAATAACATTGATTTATGATTGATTCTAGTATTTTATTAGGAAATGTTGAAATCAACATGAACTAAGATCAATAAATGCTTTAGAAGTATTGTTCATTGTTTGTTCATGTTAATTCAATTCACCATTATTTGTATAGCGCTTTTCACGATACAAATTGTTGCAAAGCAGCTTCAAATTAGAAAATTAAAGTTTTTACATTATATTTAGGAGTAGTTTATCAGTGGCGACTATGTAAGGGTGATGTCCATATGGCATAAATGTACAGTAAAAAATCATGTAGTTAATGACATGCATTCAAATAGACGGTGAACACTATATTAACAGCAATGACCAGTGTTGGGGAAAGTTACTTTTAAAAGTAATGCGTTACAATGTTGCGTTACTCCATAAAAAAGTAACTAATTACGTTACTTAGTTACTTTTTTTATGAAAAGTAATGCGTTACGTTACTTTTGCGTTACTTTTTAAACCTGGACAGTGTCAGTTACTTGTAATATATTACCCCCAACACTGTGCCAATGATTATATGTTGCGATCAAAATGTGTTAGTTTTGTATGTTGCTTCAGGGTTGGCATCATCTGAGAGGTTGGCAGCTGCATGTTAACTAATGTTAAATGGAACCTTACTGTAACGTGTTAAAGAGAATAAAAATAATCATATGAGCCATTAAACTGTATTTTAGCGTCTCGTCTTCATCTGTGTTTCAGAGCTCTGAGCTGGATGACAGCGGAGGCTGTTCCACACAGAAACAGAAGATCTCCTTTCTCGAGAACAACCTGGAACAGCTCACAAAAGTTCACAAACAGGTCAATAATCAGATCCTCAAACCCTGTAGAAATTGTGGAAATCTCCATTAGAATATGCACACAACAATCTCTCAGTTTTCCACTAATAATGCAATGTTAGTTGTATTATAACACCCTCATTTACATGTAAGGATGTAGGAGAGACATACAGCCAAACCAAAAATTATTCAGACACCAGATATTTTATTTACTAGTGGGTGAAGGACACTACAGTTCATTTATCTAAGTGAGGATAGCCAAATAAAGTCAAATGTGATATATTATACACAAACATTCTTCATACAGTGGACTACCAGGAAAATTTGACCTGAGCATGTTTTGCTTAATTGCTAATGTGATCTTTTTACACCACAGACTGAACTAAATGAAGCATTGCTTGGTAATTGGTTGAGCTAAATTGGTTTGATCTAATTGTGCGCTTACAGTTTTTTCAACTGCTTACACACATTTTCAAAACTTTGCCTCTTTTTTCAAAACTTTACACACAAATCAAATATTTGCACGCACAAAATGCAAAATGCCTTGCATCTCTTGCAAAATGAAGCATCTCAAAAGCAAACATCTGCAAACACCTTTGCCATAATATTAATTCCTGTTAGATTTAAGTGTGTTACATAGAGAATTGTGTGTTGTGTTTGAGTCAAAGGCCCAGAATTAGCACATGGTTTTGCAGATTTGGTGTGTGCTTCTGCTTTCAGAAATTGTGTGACAAGTAAAGATTTTATGTGTAAGCAGTTGAAAAAAACTGACAGCAATTCAACCGAATCCATTACATACCTTTCTAACAAAGGTATCTGACATTATCAAGATGAATTAGTTCTTCTCATATTTTATTACCATTTTCTAAACTATAGCGAATAAACTGTGATAATGTGAGAAATGCTGAAGGTGTCTTTGGTTTGACTGTATATGATATATATGTTCATGGCCTGATATGATTCTGTGCCGTCTCTCAGCTGGTTCGTGATAATGCAGATCTGCGCTGCGAGCTTCCGAAGCTGGAGAAGCGTCTTCGCTCCACGGCGGATCGGGTTCGAGCGCTGGAGGATGCGCTGACAGAAGCCAAAGAAGGAGCTATGAAGGACCGCCGGCGCTACCAGCAGGAGGTCGAGCGAATCAAAGACGCCATGAGAGCCAGAAACGGCTTCAGACGGCCTCACGCTGCGCTCATCGGTCATTAGTCTCTACTGGACGATTAAACCAATGAATCTCAAACATCATCTCTCTGTTATTACTCTGCATGAGATGAATCAGCTTTCATTTGTGTAGTATTTTATTAACTATGTTTTCCAAAAATAGCCATTATCACATTACAATATGTGACCCTGGAGCACAAAAGCAGTCTTAAGTCGCT